CCCCCAGGGCAACAAAGTGGTTAACACTGACAACAGATGCATGAGGCCAGATGGCTCATTCATCGACCCCGCTAACGCGGGCGAACGTTTGCTGTTTGCCCGGGCCATGGCCGTGTGGTTGAATGCTAGTTCTGCGGAGAGAGGCTTTGCGCTGGAGAAGATTGACGACAATCGACCCAGAAATGTATGGTTCCTCACCACCGAGTCAAACAGCCTTGTTGTCAGAGAGACACAGGACGGCGGTGTCCGGCCATACGGAGTGGTCGCCAAGCGCGGCAAATTCTGGTTTTTGATGATGAATCGCGCTGTTACGAACCATCGAGAAGAGACAAGGAATCCTGTCTTCGACGATCTCAAGTGCAGCGAGTTTGCTGCTTTGTACTGCTCCATCCCTAATGGCTTTGTCAGGAAAGACAAAAAGATGGAACTCATTCATGGAGGTAATCGGTTGCCAAAACCAGTCGATTTCGAGTGGGGGTGTCAAGGCCTTGCGGGTCTGCTCCAGAGGTTTTGTGACATCGATGGATCCAATCAGTCGGCGGCCAAGGATCTGCCCTGCTGGACGGAAATTAAACACCTGGTCACAAACTATGGTATTCCGAACCCCTTTTGGGCCATCCACACCCTGGTGAAAGCGACAATGGATGTGGTACCTTCTTCCAACAATGAGGAGCACATATCTACTTTCAACAAGACCAATTACGAGTCTAAGTACTATGCGGACCATTACATTTCGTACCTTAGAGGCTATCAGACTTTCATGGAGAAGAATGGTGTCACTGTGATCGATGATAAGCTGCTCACTAAGTTTCAGGATGACTTCTTGCCACAGCATAAGGATCAAGGTAGGGATGGGTATGATTCACAGCTCTAACCCTATGATTGCTAAAGTCTGGACTATCCTACACAACATCAAGCGACGAACTAAGAATAGTCGCGATCATGATTCTTACATCATCACCCTAGATGGTTCTGGACTAGGTCTGGCCACTGCAGCGGTATATCATGACCGCGCAGGCGTTTCCCTTACTCAGGCAACGTGTACCTACAACGTGGGCTGCTACACTGGAGGCGAGCTTAAGCTGCCTAGTTTCGATGAGAGCCCTGCTCAATCAGAGCTTCAGAACGTTTGTCAACAGACTTTCAGTCTTCACTCTAAGGCAGCAGCGAAGCTTGAAGCTTTTGATGGAGTACTCTTCAACATCTCTAGCTTTTGTTCAAACAATAAACTCTCCAACACCCAAACTCTTGTCGATCACCTTAACTCTGTGCAACCTGGTTGCATCGACCTTGGCGATCACGCTCTTATGACTTACAAGGATGTCAATTTTGAGTTGGAATCTTGTTATCTCTCCCGGTCATCCTACCTTGGCTACGTAAACGGCGAAAATGTGAAAGGCAACAAAGTATACTCCATACAACGAGCCTCTCCTACTTTCACTAGTTGGGCGAACATCCTCATTCTAGATGACAGACACAAGAACAAGATGTTTAGAGGGATACGCGGCTTAACTTTCAATGAAATCCTCCGGATCAATCACCTCGCCGAAAAGCAAGAAGATTTCCTGAGATCTATTCCTGAAGATCAAGCCTACACCTACATAGCTAACGCAGTGCCCTCTGGAATGCTTCATGCCGTCTATAAAGCGGTCATTGATGATTTGGATGGTGGCTTAAACCGCGGGGGAGCGTACTATGTTCTTTCCAATCTAGTCGCATTCAAGACACCAAAGAAGAACACAGCAACGCACTTGATTGGCAGAGTTATGAATTGCATGTTCCAACCAAAGAATGATACGGGACATGCTCTGAACAATTCCTATTCTGAATTTCCAAAGATTGATACTGATGTGTCCAAGAAAAGGAATGTGCGCACTGCAAAACACAATACTACTACCCGCGATACCACTGAAGCTGCTAGTAAGAAACGTATGCGTGACTTTCACCGCATCTATCACTGTAACAATGACGTTGCGGCTAAGACAATGCAGTGTACTACCAACCATCGTCTTCTTCCTGGTGATATTAAGCACAAGCAAAATTGCATGGAATGTTCCATTTGCAAGAACGATAAGAACCCTCGCCGACACTTCAACACCAACCGAGCAACATGTGGTCCTCCTTAAAGAACTCCTTCAATATCTAAATGGGACAAAGGGACTGAAGCTAGTTTACTTCCGTGACAAGCATCCCATCTTTGAGCACCTGAAAGCAAGCGCACACGAAGACAAGACTCTTCTTGATCTTGTACCGAAAGATTCCTATAAATGGGACTCTTTAGGCATCATCAAACCTAGTCATGACTTACCGGCGCCTGATGCACCTAGAGCATTTGACCCTGTGTGCAGTAAGGATCTCTGGGGCGCCAGCGATGTTACCTTTTGCCAGGTGGGCGGGCCAAAAAATATAAGCCGCGCCACCCCGGACCCCGGGGAAGCGGCGAGCTGGGAGAGGACCACCACAACCAGCAGTTTTATTTAGCTGGATGATGATAGGTGGTCTAAACTCACTAACTCGTTACCGGAAACATATTGTACTGCCGTAAATGCAATTTCCGTCCACTTGGCCTTTCGTATCTCCCACTAGCCTGAGCTAAAAGGAAGCAAGTAAGATCCTCCCTCGAGGGGAGGTTGAGCTCAGTTTCAATTAAATATGCCAGGATGAAGGCCGACGGACCGCGCTTGGATGGCGCAGCCACCTCAGCCATACTTCTGCAACATAATGAGGAAGGTAATTTTTTTTTTTTTTTTTTTTTTTAATATGGAACAAGGGGGCCGGACTGGAGACCACGTCTTCCATGAGACCTGTTGCCTCCTCCCTGTCCGGCCAAATATACAGTAACCAACAATCAGACAGCCACCGCCCTCGACGCTGGATCTTTGAAGGAGGCCACCCGATGGCATACAAGGCTGTAGCTCCACCAGCCCGCAGCGAATGGGTGGCGTGATCAGCAGGGTCCAAACCCAGAGCCACCGCCGCTGCTTTGAGCGCTGTGTTAACTGTGCTACGCTCCAGGACCCTACCGCAGGCTAAGCAGAACACGGGCCGCTTGGACCCGTTGGCTCCGAAGCGGGCTGGGTTCATTGTGTACAGCTGCCTAAGGAGGCATAACGGGTTGATGTCAGACGGCGTGTCACCTGCTCGCAGTTTGATATTGAGCTTGTAACCGTCGTTGTAGATGTCTGTTTTGGAGCCTGGGATGTGGATGACCAACTCGTCCGCTGCCATAATTTGTTCCCACCCCAACTTGTGGCCTGCCTGGAAGATGTGGAGATGCTCCATGCGGAGGACCTTGTCCTCGTGGACCACACCATCCTTTGACAGGTATTCACAGGCACGCAGCAAAAAGGAGAAACCGAAAGACACCGCGGTGAGTAACAGCAAGTCATCCCACAGCCCAGTGTCCAACCCCAGTTGGATCTGCTTAATATGTGCCACTGTCACCGGATGCTTGCGCTTGGGGGACTTCTGTCGACGCTTCAAGCCAGCCATGGCCATCTTAAGTCGCAACTTGTCCTTGAGAATATCCCTGCCATCTGCGACCAGATGTGCAAACCTGAGTGCATATAGACACACATGAAGGGTGGAATGCTTGTATCCATGGCCTATGCCAGCCCAGTAGACAAATTCCATAAGATCGTTTTCCTCAGCCTCGTCGTCGGTGCCTAACATAAATGGTTTTCGGCGTACATGACGCCATAAGTGCCACTTCTTTAAGGAGGACTCATAGGTCTTCTTTGTGCCTGCGGACAAGCGCTCGTACATGAGCTGCATGCCGCCGTTCTTACAAAACTCCTCCTTGTTGTCCATCGTAATCCCTTGCTCTATGCCCGGAATGCACCGATGTCCGGTCCCTGGAGTGGGTCCAGGAGTCGGAGCGGTTCGCGCAGTGGGCGGAGGCCGGGGAGGAACCAGGTTCCCATGGCCAAGAATTTCTAAGTATCCATGACTCAGATCGTTCCTGAGGTCCGCCTGAGCCACCCACCTGGGTGGGGCAAACATACAAGTCAGGAGTATGCCCATATGGATGGGTGAGTCGAAAGGCTTGCCATCCAAAATACCCACGGCCATCTCACCCACCTCCTTCATATAATGCTCCAGCAACTTATCACTCAAACCCAACTCTTGGATGTTAGGAGAAACCATATGACCCAAAAAATATAAGCCGCGCCACCCCGGACCCCGGGGAAGCGGCGAGCTGGGAGAGGACCACCACAACCAGCAGTTTTATTTAGCTGGATGATGATAGGTGGTCTAAACTCACTAACTCGTTACCGGAAACATATTGTACTGCCGTAAATGCAATTTTTGAGCGAGCTATGAGCAGCTCATCAGGCTGCCAGCAGCTCCATCGTGGACTTAGGCGAATTTCATGCGACGAATCTTTTGTTACTTGCGACGGACCGGTAAGCTACTTGTATACTACCGCAGAAGAGTAAGCCTAGCTAGAGCGAAGCTCGCCTCCGGGCCGTCGCCGCCCTAGAGCAGCGGCTGGGCTGGGTTCCTGGTGCGACAGGAGCTTTGGGCATGGGAGGAGCTAGCCCGAATGCAAGCGCAGTCAGCCGGACGGCCTCGTCGCGAGGAACATGAATGACATGGTCTGTAATCGGCGGGCGTGTGCAGATCCTAATCCAACTATATCATTCTATATCTTGTATCATTCCTTAATATCCTGGTAAACGTTGGATACACTAACTCCGTGCAACGACAGAGACAACGCGCCATGAATCCCGTCTGCAAAGTGATATGCGTATCGGTTGGTCTATTGTTCGGCCTCATCTTCGCGATGATGATCCCGGCGAACGTCGGTAAATTCGCAAAAGAAATTGTCCGCAGTGGCCTTCGTCAAGGAAAAATTGGCGATTCAGTGGCACGCCGGGCCGCATTTGATGATGCCATTCTCAAAATGAATTATGGCATGGCCTTTGGTGGCGCGCCTAGCTTTTCTGGGGTCCCATGTTATGGCGAACCCTGGATGTATCCCTTGGGCCTTCCCGCTGATTGGGCCAACACTGGCTTAAATTATGTGAATACATACACCGACGATGGGGACTCACTTGGTATTCACTGGCCTTCCAGGACCAATGTGTTCGAAGATCCCATCATCCCGATGATCGAATGGACTGATTGCCTCTTACAAATAACGCCATACGCTGCCATCGGATTGTGCGCGCGGCTTTTGCAATGCCTCCCGACCGAATGCGCGTACACAGATTTGTTGGCCCCAGCTGCTTACACCCCGGGCTGTGTTGCCGCCTCAAATTGGACATCGTGTTCCTGTTTTATCGGGGGTCTTCCTGACTTCGCTTGGCAGGCAATCCCAGATAAGCTCAACGCGGACAAGGAAATCATGGTCATCCTACGCGTGTATGCGAAGAGCGGTGTACAGGTCCTCCAAGCCGGGCTAGACATAAACGGTTGGATGATTGATTTTGGCGGCGCGGGAGTCCCGGGGGCATTCCATAACCCAGCGTACCTCGCGAGTCCTCCAACCACATCCTTCGCGAAAACTTGGTGTGTCTCATCCTACACTGTGAAGGAGTGCTGGACACTATACATCGGAGAGGATATGGAGACATCAGCCGCCATCATGGCCCCCGTTGGTGCGATTATTATGGCAGTCCTTTTCTTTGGTATCGACCTCCTCGTATTCATGGTGCTGTTCTTGATGGCGGGGTCGGGGTCTAAGGTGGGTCCTGCCAAATAGGAAGTGGGAATTGCTCTCATGTGACATGTCACACCTACGACCGTTTTCCAAGAGACTGGGCCATCTTGCGAACAGAATGCTGAACCGAGGCTCCCAATCCCTGTTTATTCCTCTCAGACCTACGTAGCGGGTCGTTGGTACAGAGCAAACCTCCAAAAACCAGAGGACACACGTTTTTTTGGTCTTTTATGTTAAGAATCTAAGTCCCGCATATTAAATGGGGCTATTCTATAGCCCAGACCACATCGGGGGAAATTAGCCAGCACTAACCTCGTTCATTAACGGCTGATATATCCTGGCGGTACACATTAATATATCACCTGCACATATCACACCTGCACGAACATGCTCGAAACGCCCGCGAGTCCCCGACGCGCGTTCCGTGGAGGAAAAACGAGCTCTTCTAGTACCATAGCTTCGCTCAATCCAGAAGGATGGGGACAAACCCAAAGCCGTTTTCGAGTTCCTACGCCCACGGGTTCTTCAGGATAGACGCAGTCTCGGGGCTCGGCTCAAAACGGCAAAATTCCGGGCTTCAGTGTCTCCCCATACTTGCCAGCCTGCGATGTTTGTGCTCTTGATGAGCATGAGCACAAAGAGTCTTGCTCGGGAACAACATTCTAGGATTTTGCCCATTCATGTTTGCATGCTAACACACTATAATAACACACTATAATAAGGACTTCGTTTTTCGAAGCCCCCCGTGCGCGCACACGCGTAATTACAAAGTCTCGCAGAAAATCGGAACCATTTTTTCCCTGGACAGTATGTGGTACGCATCGAGCAATGTGTGCCAGCCACCGGACAAGCTGGCTGGTTCTTAGTAATCCATCATTGTCTGTGGTGCAATCAGCGACATTCAATCGCTCAAGCAGAAGGAATGTTCAGAGTGGCGGCTAGGACACAGCTCAAATCAGTTTGCGACAACGACTTCGGATCGAGAAATGTCGCAACCACCTGCTCACAACTTCCTCACCCTTTTTCACGCATGTCCGAAATTCTGTGGCGAACGCGAAACGTAGCTTGGTACAAGGCAACGCTGCTTATGCGAAGCATTGAGGTTTTCCCAGAATGTGACCTTATTGGATTCATGGATCCAGATGCTATGCCAATGCCAGGTGTGTCAGAGATCGCAGAACATCTAGACGTTGTTGATTTCTATAGGAACCCGGAGCGACTCCTCTACCCCGGCGGGCACAGTACTAGTTTCAAGGGGAATGCCGGCGTCAACAATCTTAATAACACACTAATAAATCTTGGGTTCATGCTTATCAAACCGACTCGTACCACTTATGTTATACTACGCTTGCCATACCTTGGCAATTACGCGCACGATCAGCGTGTTCTCAACGATCTCCTCGTGCGGTACCCTTCGTTGCAGCGGCACGTGCAAATTGCATCACGCGAAGACTTGTTCAACACCCCTCGTGGGGAGCTTATTCGGCATTTTGGTACAAGCGGAAACAAACCGCTATTTCGTGTGAGTCTACATCGCCGTAACATCACTGGCATTGGAACACAACTGTCCGTGGGGCAGCCGATACGATAGGCGCGGGACCCTGTGGACGGACGCGCTTGCCCGCGATGATATTGGCATCATCCACTTCTCCCTTGCGCTTCTCTAGACGATAAACCTGTAGTTTACCGTCCATATCCGGCGCCTCGGCGTCCGACATAGCTGTCAAATAATTATAAACGGCCGCGGGGATCTTTTGTCGGATTCTCGGATAATTCATGGTTCGTTCTGTGTATGGGACACTAAAACATCGTGCTAATATTTTGTAATCGTGTTCTTTTTTTTTCATAACAACTGTTGCTGACGATCGGCATGTTTCACATTCCAGAATTTGTCAGTGCCATCGTTGATGGCTTCTGAGCCTGGGAAAGGGGGGACATACTACCGACCATGCTGCGACACTTACAGGAATAATTCTTTTACAGAAACATAGGTACCAATCATATGATGGAACCAATACCAACGCGCATGATGAAACCAATTGAGCAGGTAGGCATGATGTAAACAACACCAATGCCCATGATGGGAGCGACTGAGCCGGATGGCGCTCAGCGCCAATTAGAAGGAAATGGCCGATGTGATCCCCAATCGAAGTTTTGAATTCAGACCATGAAATGAAATCCTGTACGAACGACGTTAATCCAATTCGCAGCAGCAGCACTGACAAATTCTGGAATGTGAAACATGCCGATCGTCAGCTCCTTTTGTTTGAAGTGGAATGATGGCACTATGTGACCGTTGGGATCAAGAGGCCCCACTTTGGTATAAAGCACAGAGTGCATCCTCGACTTTCCGGGAATCGGCGGTGGAGCACCTGGTACTGTACCATGAAAGCTCAACATTGTAAACTCTTCACCAGCGTGCATCACATTGTTCTCTTCTAGGCTACAGAACGGCATAGCAAGACGCTCATATTTATTGGCCAAAACGCCCCCCATTAAACCAAGGGGCCAACCCTCGCCCTTTTCAAAGCGGTTCTGGTTCATCTGACATAACAGCTCCGAACAAGTGTCCCCAGCACAATCTTTCTGGGCATTCTGCATGTTATTGTAGATGTAAATCTTGGTTTCCAACATTGATAGGCCAAGAATTCTGAGCTGAAGCGGTCTGTCAAGGCGTTCCAACACAAAAGGCGCTTTATTCAGGCCAAGAAACTCCGGCTTACCTCTGAAAAGGAGCATTTCCTTGGTCCATAGATGGTGTGTTTGAAAAAAAGCAGAAAGGATGCGACCAGAATGTGTCGGAACAATCGTACCCCATATTATGGATTCTTCCACTGGAATCGTATAATCATCATAATAGCTCTCCTCTTCTTCTACCTTGTATTTGCCATGAACGAAGTATTTTCTGCCTGCGTCAAATAAAGAAAAAGATGGCAACAACTTGATCCAATAGTAGTGGTAGCGAAGCTTATTTCTCTCTGCTTTTCGTGTGTCCAACGGAAAGCATTCTCAATCCAAAATTCGAGCTTCGGACTATTCACTGGGCGCATATCATTCCAATCGCCGAATGAACAAACTGGCCACTGCATGTTCTGACCGTAACCATCAGGCAACAGCGTCAACAGACAGCTTTTCCCTCCATTGCCTGCCAGGCACTCTCGATCCCCGTGCGTATCGAATTCCCAGTCAAATAAGTCAGCTTCCGGGTCAACTCGATCGCGCAGCGAAGGATCCAAAGCCATGCGTTCCCCTTTGGAGAGGGGGATTGCTCCCCAACACTGGTTGCTTGCCGTGTGGGTGTGATGAATGTGTATTGGTGAAGACAATCAGAGCCGGCCGGTAGGCCGGTTTTCGAAGGCCATCATCCTGAGCGCTCGTGATAGAATGACTGCGATCGATAATCGTGGCTGAGTAAGGTTAAAATGCAACAATTCCGGCGCAAGGCTGTGTACAGGTAATCTTCGATTAGCCAAGAAAGTAGCGCCCAAAGGAGAGAGAGAGAATAAGTCAAGTGATGCACACACTGCTGCGGCGGTGGTGTTGCGTCGCTGCGGCGTGGCGTTCGGCCGCGTAGTAAATTAACACGGTCAGCGCGGACTAGTTTTTCGGACTCGCCGTACCCGACTTCCTACGGCGAAGTGTTCTCTTTTTGGTCTATCTCGATCGGGAACATGCCAAACGGGGCTGCCCGAAATCGTGCGCCCATCGCGCAGCTGCGGACAGGTACTTCAACCAAATGGCTGAAATCCCCCCAACGGCCGTAGCTAGACTTTAACTCTAGTAATTAATGGTTCCGGACAGAAGATTTAGTTGACGGCAAGTAAATGGGTGGCTGGCATAATAGCCCGTTGGGGGAATTCCATCAATACGCTGCTGAACAGCGACGCAGCACAACAGTGTGATGAAGTTGGGAGGCTAAGTGTGAGCTGTAAGTTATTATTGCAGCTCAATCGATACTCGCTCCTTATGCTCTTATCTGGCCGGCGCTGCTGAAGCAGCCCGCCGGCGAAATTCTTTCTGAGGAGGGGGCATAGGGTGGGTTGGAGCAGCGGCGGCCATGGTTGTGTCCAACCCAGTCCCGCCGGAGCTGCAGGGGCGCCCGTTTAGTGGACAGGCGCGGGCCTTACAAGCGCGGGTCGCGCTGCAGGCGTTTTTCGCGGCAGCCGCGGGCTTCAGCTAAGGATAAGCGTGCAGTCATGGGCTTCAAGGACCATGCGTGGGTTACAACGACATTTCTGGAGGAAGTGCTCGACAAGTGGTGGTCAAGATTTCAAACGGATTGTTCGCCGAGTGGCATCTAGCTTTGGTGGTGGTAGTGGTAGTGGTGGTGGTGCTGGTTTATCTTTAGATATCACGCTTGTTTTTTTGATAGCAGATTTAATAAATGTATCTGAAGCTTTTTTTTATAATACCAATGCTGAATTTTTTACAAGCACTATACTTCTTAAATTGATCTTTGTCTGGTAAAGAAACTTTTAGTTGTATGTGGCTACAGTGGTAAAACCGGGCGCGAGGCCTCGTCGCAGCCGACCTGCGCCAGCGACGCGCCGCCGTCGTCGGACCGCGCCGCGGGGACCGCCGACGCCGCGAGGGCCCCGACGAGGAGCGCCCGCATTGCGCGACGCCGCTCGAGAAGAATGTTGCCCAATCCGCGAATGCAAAGAATATCAGTTCGGACCCCGCAAATGCAAAGAATATCAATATGGACCCCGCGGGCCGTCGATCATGACATTCAAACTGATCTGATGACATGGACAAGCTTCATCGCACGATGTCGCACGGCCTCCCGGCTTTCTGGCGCCACCGCGATCAAGCCGCCGCCGTGATTCGC